TAAAAAAGTACCTCCCATGTAAGAATATAAATAGTGATAATACAAAGACAACAGATTTTATTCGCATGTATTCAGAAAATATCGGTTAAATATTTGCTCTCTGATAGTGCTAGATTCTAGAGTATTAAAAAACTGGATAAAACCCTTTTTCATTGAGATTATTAGGAGTCTCGAAGAAAGACTTGCAAAGAAAATAACATTCACTATTTTCCTTTTTTTTTTAAATCGGTTTATTAGGGGCTCATGCAACTCTTATCATACTCCATACATACATCAATTGTGTAAATCACATTTGTACATTGCCCGCATCATTCTCAAGCATTTGCTCTCCAAATAAGCCCCTGGCATCAGCTCATTCTTTCCTTTTCTTCCCTTTTTTCTTCTAGTTTTATTAACAGATATTGTCTTTGTTTGCCAGAGGTGTGTTTTTTGATTGATGTGAAGTAAAATAATGTCTTAGAAATTCACAATGTCAACCTTTCTGAGAAAATATTTTGTAAATTTTAAATATTTTTTCATATCGAATTTCAGCTCATGTTTTGTATTTTAACTAATTTTAGCAATCGATTCTAGCAAAAAAGACCCTCAACACCTAACTGACGGCCATGGAGTCGGTTCTGACTCCTAGCAGCCCTGTAGAACAGGATGGAGCTGCCCCTGAGGGCTTCCAAGACTGCAACTCTGGACAGGAATAGAAAGCCTCATCTTTCTGCCAAGGAGTGGTTTTGAACTGGTGGATTTGAACTGCCAACCTTGTGGATTGCAGCGCAACAAGTAACCCACTGTGCCACCAGAGCTTCTCATGATTATAACAAAGCAGATATTAGAAGATTGGATAGTATTTTTACTGTGTTTATTTCACATCACTGTCTCCTTAGTTTGTGTTACTTAACCTGAAGATTGACAAAATAGTATTTTACTGTGCTTTTTGAAAGAAAGAAAGAATTTCTTCCCTTGGGTTGATTCTGGCCGGTAGGACCCTTACAAGACCACTGTGGAGGAAAATTTCCAGGGCAATGACAATGACAGGGGCAGACTGCCACATCTCTGCCCTGTGGAGTGGCTGGTGGATTCAAACAGCCGACCTTTTGGTTAGCTGCTGAATGTTTAACCACTGCTACAGGGCTCCATTTTTGTTTGTTTTATGGAGATTTATTTAAATTATTCAGGTTTAAATCCTATTCTGTGACCATCGTTTGACTTTTCAAAAATAAAGAAGCCTGGTTGAGTCATACACCTGGATTTCATCTTAAAAGGCTGGTGTACACAGAATATCTGATGCCAATACCATCAAGGATTCCTAGTGGCCTGGTGGTTACCTGCTGGGCTACTAACTATAAGGTCGGCTGTTCGAAACCACCACTCCTTCTTGGGAGAAGTAATGAGGCTTTTCACTCACATTAAGAATTACCGTCCCAGAATCCCACAGGAGCAGTTCTACCCTATCCTATAGGATCATCATGAGTCGGAATCAATTCAATGGCAGTTTGGGTTTTATTATAATCACGTAGTCAGTAGTGAGCCTGACTCCATTTTTAATGTGCTTTGGGAAATGAAATGATGGAATTACTAGGATTGTTTTAGAAAGTTTAATGAAGAAAGTAGGCTTTAAGTAGAGTTCTGGTAGATGAAGCAATAGTACTGTCATGAAGATGTAACATGGGAGATCACACTAATTTGTTAGGCATTTAGATATTTGGGGAGTCGAATAAGTTATAGAGATCCTTGAAAGCCAAATGGAAGATCATGAGAACATTTCTGAAGCTTATGTATTTTGTGAGGATACTTTTGATGAAGTATGAGTACTCTTTAGTGTATGTTTGAGCAAGATTTCATTTTATAAGTGTCAGTTTTATTTCAATAAGTGTTGATAAACATTTAACATTATTGAACATTATAGAATAAATACTACATTTCTAGACGCTTATAATTTCTGTATGTTATGAATTCAAAACCCTGTCCCCCTCATTTGTTTCCGGATTGTTGTTGTTGCCGGATGCCATTGAATGAGTTTAGTCCCACTGCAGCCCTAAGCTACTGCTCGGTCCTCTGCCATCCTCAGAAGCATTGCTACGTTTGAACCCATTGTTGTAGCTGCTTTGTCAATCCATCTGAGGGTCTTTCTCTCTCTCACTGACTACAAGCATGACGTCCTTCCGCAAGGGTCTGCTGTCTCCTGATAACCTGTATAAGGTGTGTGGGACATCCTAGTCTCCAGGGAGCGCTCTGGCTGTCCTTCCAAGAGTAGATTTGTTCATCTTGGTAGTCTCTGGCACAGTCAATGTTCGTCAGCACCACTGTACTGCAAAGGCCGTACTTCTTCTTTGGTCTTCATTATTCATTCTCTAGCTTTTGCAAACTGAAAGTGCCATCCATAGCCTGGGTGAGATGTCCCTCAGCCCTCACCGTGGCGGCTTTGCTTGTTAACATTGAAGGAGGTCTTGTGCAGCAGATTTGCCCATGGCAATATGCCATCTGCTTTCTTAGCTGCTGCTTCCATGAGAATTGACTGTGGGTGGAAGTAAAATTAAATCCGTGACCACTTGAATCCTTTATTTATATATCATAGCACCACTTATTACTCCAGTGGTGCATATTTTTCTTTCTTTATGCTGAGGTGTAATCCATCCTGAAGGCACTGGTCCCTGATCTGTGTCCGTAGGTGCTTCAAGTTGTGTTCACATTCAGCAAGCAAGAGTGTATCATCTGTGTGTTGCACATTGTTAATGAGCCTCCCTCTAATGTTGCACCACATTCTTCTTCAAAGGGTCCAGTCTTTTGTTTGAATTTGGATTAATTTCTCTTAAACTCTGATGTTTCCAGTCTACGTGTGGATTTTTTTTTTTTTTTGCCCTTTTTTGAACTTAAAGTGCTTGCCTCAGAATTTAGCGCTTTCCTCATCTTAAAAAAATTTAATTCTGGAACCAATCACAATGATTGACATATAAGCCCCTCCCAGGGGGACGGATAACAGAAAAGTGGGTGAAGGGCTTTAGCGATCTGTGGATGACATGAAAAAATAATTTATAAATTATCACGGGTTCATGAGGGAAGGAGGGTGTGGTGGGGAGGAAAGAAAATGAGGAGCTGATACCAAGGGCTCAAGTAGAAAGAAAATGTTTTGAGAATGATGATAGCAACATATGTACAAATGTGTATGGATTGTGAAAGAGCGGTAAGAGCCCCCAAGAGAATGATTTAAATAAATTTTTTAATTCTATCTCTTCAAACGTATGTATGGCTACATAGCATTCATTAGGACAGCATCCCCCGCACCTAGGTACGTCCTCCTTGCCCCAGGTAGAAGCAGCTCTGCTGGAAGGACCCCCCAGGCAGGAGGGGGTGGGGGCATGTTGATCCTGGAGGTGCAGCAGGGAAGTGTCCTCAGTACTAAAAGACTGGCTTGGGATGGGGCAGGTCCCTGTATTGCCACCAGCTTCTCTGATTCCTCCTGAAGGTGTGTACACAGCATCCCTCTCCTTGCTGTCTGAACGCCGAGGAGGGACCCCATGGAGAAGCAGCTTCAGCTCGTGGGCTCGTAGGCACTTGCTCTGAGCTTGGGTTAGGACCCCACAGCCTAACAGCTGGAGTAGGGAGGGATCCAGCACCACCAGGTCAGGAGCAAACTCCGCTGCCCCTTCACCCCGTGGGAGCCTGAGCCCACGGCGAGAGCGTTCCTCCGAGAGCAGCAGCTCCTGTACTCAGGCAGTGGCCTCACCGAGCATTGTGACCCCCAGGAGGTCATGATGGCCTGAAATGGCACATGCCCTCATTCCCACCCACACCCCCACTCCCCTCTGATCTCTCCACCTGGAATTCCACTCAGTACGTCTCCCGTGCCTTCTAAAGTCAAGGTCCCATTGTCTACCTTTTGTATCCCTCAGTGGGGCCCTTTGGGTGCACATAGCCATCTCCCAGGTCACTAATTTCAGAACTGTGATTAGGACTGCCATTGCTTATAATGTTTGGCAGTTACGTTTTCTATTTCTAGAAATTGTTTTATTTCACATATCCATCCCTCCACTTTTTCTCTGTGTCTTAATGATTTCCATAAATAAGTCTTAACCCTTCCTTTACATCTTTAATCTTTTAAATATGCTTTTTGTTACTCAGTTTTTAGTCTTACCATATATTCAAACCAAATCAGGTATCCGATTCCATTTCCCCCCTGCTGGCAATCTCCCTCTTTACTGTCCTTCACTTTGAAGCAACAAGTCTAGTGTTCCTGTATCAGTGGGTTGTCATACTTGTTACCATTTCTGTTCAACAGCCCCCAAACGAGGCCTTTTAATGATATCAAAGGGTGGCGCTAACAAAGTAAAATAAATTTGTGAATGCTCATTTACTCATACTGATCAGCAACTGAGTCCGTGGGAGAAACAACATGGGTGCCGGAATGTACATCCTGTGGACATGCCCTGGGGGGAGGAGAATCCAACTCCACTCCAACCCGAGACTGAGGACCACAAGGCAGGGGTGAGCCGGGCCTCCACCCGTCATCTTCCTTTATCTTATCCTGACCCCAGCATCTCCTCCCCGTCACTCTACTTGAGTGCTCCGTTAGATCGTTCATGGCGCCGGCCTCTTGGAACACACAGGAAAGACTCAAGATCATGGAAATGGTGAGGGGCCCTGGTGGGCTGCACACTGCGCTGCTGACCACCAGGGTTGCAATTCGAACTCACAGCGGCTCCATTGGGGACGGAGGAAGCCACCCGCTCCTGTCAAGAATTGGTCTCAGAAACCCAAAAGGGTGGTTCTGATCTGGCCTGGAGGGTTGCTAAGAGTCAGAATCTATCAGTGGCATTGGCTTGGGTTCCATTTTGCTAGGTAAGTTAATAGGTTGCCACAAATCACGATCAGAAAACACAAAGGACACAGCCCTCTTGTCCACAGTTGCACCTCATCTCAGCTGTGCCAACAGCCAGGGTTCTCTCTCTAGTCTGCTGTCTCAGCCATCTGCTCCCTGGCCTCTGCCTTTTTCTGTGTGCCAGGAAGCCGTCCACTGCCTCCTGCCATCGGTGCCGCTGCTCTGGCCTGCCCCATGGTCACCGTGCTGTGGCCTTGGCCGCGCCATGGAGGGATCGCTGGTGCTCTGCCGGTGACTCTCCTTTCTTGATGGTCTCGGGCTCTCACACCCAGAGGAATGGCAAAACCGACCCTGAGTTTTTATACATCTTATTTGCCTGGTACCATCCAGTCATTCGGTTGGATTACAAAGACATAGATCAAAGAGCCGTATTTCAGCAATTCCATGTCCCTACACATGCTGATCCCCCAAACCCGGCTTTGTGTTCAATCTCTTGCCTTTACTGAGTTTTCATTAAGTAATGAAATGCCTCTCGTGGCAATGTGTTCTGCTCTTTTGACTAGTCTCCAAGCCGCCTGCGTACATAGCTTCTTAGACCTATCCCCTCCTACCTTTGTGCTCATCCCTCAT